TCACTTCTCCAAGCCATCCTCCAATTTGTATTGTTCTTCGTTTGACCATTCACTAGCCAAAGAAGTATCAAGCTTGAGCCCAGAAACCGAATCAAGAGAATTCGAAGAGTTCCCAGTTTGAATTAACCCAGAATTAGCAGCATTATTGATCATCATCATATTCATCCCAGACAAGACACCAGTTCTTCCTAAGTAAGAACCCATCGGAATCACCTCGGAAGAAGTGTTGGACTGGAAATTTATGGCGTGACGACTCATCATAGAACTCAAAGACTCCTCGTGACGGAACCCAGAATTAGATCGAGTAGCCATCCACATAATCGAAGAAAAAACCCTAAAACCACCATACACCTCTCTAAACCCTAACCATCATCAAGAATCGAAACCCAAATTAGCCCAGAAATCAAACACCTTTAGCTAATTTGAAAAAAAAAACCCATCTTGAATTCCTGATGATCCAAAGCAAAACCCTTTTGATCAGAATCAGATATAAAAAGACAAACTTTGAGAAGGTGAAATCATCTTTACGCCATGGAAGTAAAAACTTCACCCTTTTTTTTTTTTTTTGTTGGAGTGAAATGTTTCAGAGGAAACCAAAATTGTTTTTGAACTTTTTTTTTGTTTTTCTTTCTTTCTCTATTGTGTGTTTAGTTTGTGGAATTGCTTTCTTTATTTATTTGCTTTTCCTTTCGAGAGCAGCCCTTATTCAGCTAATGTCTATGGAACAATTTGTCGACAAATAAAAAGGTAGAGAAATGGGAAAAGTATGTCCCTTTATTGTATAGTGTAGTGTATTCTATACTTTGTGAAAACAACCACAAATTTCCAGTTTCCACCATTTTTATTGGAAACAAATTAAAGATAAAATTTATGTTTTGAATTTTATAGACTCTTTTTTTCCTTTCTATTCGCTATTTATTTTAGGTTACAATCATACAAATAAAATACCAAATCAATGTGGACTGACTCTGAATGGAAACAGTGCGAAATAAATAGTAACAAGAAAAAAAAAAA